TCTTGGTCTTTAAAATTTTTGTTGAAAAATCTGCTGTAATCCTACTTAGTTTAGCTTTAGACTGATTGTTTGCTTTTTTCTGATAGCTTTTAAGGTTTTTTGACTGGAATTCTAGGATTTTGAGTATGGCATATTGTGAAGAACTTTTTAAAATGATTATTTGGCACTTTACCATGAAGTCTGTTTTCTGGGTTAGTTTGTCAGGCAAGTTTTGAACCATCTGGGTTAGCTCTTCCAGTTTCTTGTTTGACTCTTCCATAACTACATTGCTTAGTTTACTTGGTAGCTGCACTGTCTTTTGTGCGTGTTGTCTTTGAGTTTGCTGAGTTTCTTTGCTTCCTCTGTAATTATCTTGGGGGCTCAGGTACTTGGTGTTTTATAGTTTTTTGCCACCAGTGCCTCTTGCATCTGCTTTGGGAGAGTTGAAATCTTTGGAAGCCTTTTGTTGCCTTGTTTTTTCATGTTTCTTGTGTGTATGTGTATGTTGAGGGTGAAATAGAGTGAAGATAATTTATTGTTGGTATGAAGATTTTTTTTTTTTTTTATATGTTCTCTTTCCAGTGCGGTGTTCTTGGTTTTATTTATCATCAAGTACTGCTTATCAGTTCAGTCTTTTCCATTGGTTTGGATCCTGTCACTGTGTTGTAAGAGGAGAATTTCTACTGGTTATAATACTGTCAAGAAATCAAACTGTACATCAATCATAAAGACTAAAACTTGCTTTGATAATTTCTCCCTTTTGTCAGTACCGTTATTATGCTTCTATTTGTGGTTCTTCTGTGATGTGGAGGGTGAGGGGAAGAGAGAGAAGGATAAGAAATGTCACTAGGTAGAAAATAGGAATTTGGACTCTTTTGGGATTATTTTTGTAGCTGGGGTAAAGGACTAGCATCAGCGGGCTTTGAGAGTGTATTTGTGTAGCAGGAAGCATGCAGACGGGTACAAGTGTACTAGAAGTGGAGGGAGGCGGTCAGGCTTTTAGAACCTGTTAATATGTTTGTACATAGCCTCGTTTGAATCTTGTAAGCACAGTTTTCTTAAGGATTACTCTGATGTGCTCTTGAACTGTACTGTCTGTGTTAGACCACTGGTTAATTCTTATTCTCTGATGCACTTATTCTGATGTATATATGTATGTACTGTTAGGCAGAGAGGTGGAGGAGGATGGCTAGGAGGTGAGATAATAAGAAGAGAGCGTGAAAAGTGAGAGAGAGAGAGAGAGAGAGGGAGAACCAAAAGGAGTTGATCAAAGTCAAAAACTTGTAAAAAGAATGTAAAATAACAAAACAATATCAATAAAGACATTAAAAACTAAGTGGAAAAAATACAAAGAAAAAACAAAAAAGAAAAAGAAATGCAAGCTGATCCAAATAAACAAAGAAGCAAGGTAACTAATAACTACAATAACCAAAACAGAAATGAAAATAAGATAAAAACCTTTGCACTGTTATTATTGCATTAAGCAGGGTGTCCACACAGTTTCCTCTACACTGGAGTTACCACCTCCCAGTTACCATCTGGGAGTTACCACCCAGCATGTCATCCCTGTGGACTAGTCCATTGCCTGCCTGAAGCAGTGAGGCCTGTCGGGCTCCCCTAACCTTGTCCTGGTTGGAAGCTGTGCTCCAAGAGTGACCCACTGCAGCCTTTGTAGATCTGATTGCCTTAATTGATCTGGGGGGTGAATATCTTGGACATCTTTGCGTGTTCCCTCCACAGGCTCTCCTTTCCTAGGGTGTGACCAGAAAGCCACCACCCCAGGTGCTCTTCACCATCTTTCTGACTGCAAATTTCATCTGTCCCAGCCCTGCTCCTGGAACCTATTGCCACCTTCAGGCCTAGCAGAGGGCCCCCTTTGCCCGCCTGGGGCATTTTTCAGGATTTCATGCCATCTCAGCGTGCCTACTTTCTGTCTCTCCCTGTAGCTATTTTATAGTTACAGTTATTCATATTTTTGTCTTCTAATGCATATATCAGAATTAAGAGATTCAGGAGCCATATTACAGTATAACAAGATTTTGTGTTTATTTATATGTTTACCTTTACAAGTACAGTTTATATTTTCTTTTGCTTTTGTGTTGCTGTCTCATGTCCTTTCTTTTCACCTGAAGGATTCCCCTTAACATTATCATAAGGTAGGTATGTAGGTGATAAACTCTTAGGTTTTATTTATCTGGGGATATCTTTATTTGTCCATTTTCAGAGGACAGTTTTACAGAAGATAGTATTCTTGACTGGCTGTATTATCCCACTTCCTTCTGACTTGCAAAATATCTGCTGAAAAATACGCTGATAGTCTTATGGGAATGCTTGTGACAGTCCCATCATTTTAAACCAACTTCTTCATGAAGGTCTTGAACTCTGAATGCAAAAAGAGAAAGCACTGAATATGTGGAGACTGATGTCAGCCCCTGGAGAGCAGAGGGTTCAAGAGTAGGAGTCCCAATAGCTGGCGGTGACATAAAGTAAATTAATACATGTGTATGTTGTTGGGTTAGGAAACTGTCAGCCCACTGTAACTTACATGAAAAAATGTTTGCCACAGAGGTATTCCTGTGTCTGTTTTTGTAATGAAACAACCCGTTTCATTCTTTCCATTTAACTAGGCACTTAATTTAGATTACTGTGTCTCAAGAACTGTATTAAGACTAAGATTATTTCCTCCAAAAATTTCATATACTATTTTTTTGTCTTTGTTTTTTCTGAACTGCCAGAGAAAAAGACACACACTTCTTAAAGGAACTTAAAGGCCACCATTCCTCAAGGAACTATATTCTTAGGTATAAATACAGTACTTTACTTCTCTCCTCACAACCTTTTTGTAAAGGTCACATAAGTAAACAGTGTTGTAAAATGCCACTACATATGCTGATCGCCTGTTCAAGAACTAAGCATTTGTGAGAGTGTCTTGGTAGAAATCTTTCAGCAGATGATTCATTGAGACCAGTGCAGGCCAATCTAAGAGAGCCTTTTGTTTTTAATTAAAATGGGAAATAAGCTAGTTCAAAAATTTGTCTCCTTCATTTGCCTAAAGTGAGAGTGATAGGATTTCCGTTCTGATCAAGCCCTAACCCTTGATAAAAACGTCCTGAATGCTGGCTGTGCGCTGTGAGGCTGACTGTCACATGCGCAGGTCCCCATGCAGCCAAACTGTGCCATGGTCAGGGCCAGCAGTGACGCTGGGCTTTTCTGTCACTCATTTGGTGGTAGGGTTAAGAGTGTATTTTTCCTTCTTGACATTGAATTAAAGTAGATGTCTTCTAAGTTTAGAAGGAACGTGCGTTTCAGGATTAGACAGATAGAAGAAATTAAGAAGTGCTGGGCAACAAACCTTTGAAACGCAGCAGTTGAGAAGATAATTTTTTGGCACTACATTTTGTCTTGTCAAGTTTAGTGCCTTGCTCAAAGTAGAGATTTGGCTTGAATTTTTAAAAGTGGTCTTCTTAAGGTAAAAATCACATACTGTATAATTTACCTATTCAAAGTGTACAATTCAGTAGCTTTCAGTATATTTATAGCTGTACAAACATGACTATAATCAGTTTGAGTAAATTACCATCACTTTCCATGGAGAGCCATGCTCATTAACAATCTCTCCCTATCTCCCTGTCTCTGACTCTTCCTCTGCAAGGTCCTAGGCAAGTACTGGTGTATTTTCTGTGTACATAGATTTACCTGTGCTGAGCATTTCAGTTACATATGTGAAATCATACAACATGTGATCTGTTGTAATTTTTTTCAGTTAGCCTATTGTTCTCAAGGTTCATCCATATTTAGCATGTGTTAGTGTTTCATTGCTTTTTATGGCTGAGTAATATTCCATTGCTAGTTTTACTACATTTTATTTGTCCACCCATCAGTTGATGGGCATTTGGATTGTTTCCACTTTTTGGCCAGTGTGAACAGTGCCGCTATATATATTCATTTACAAGTTTTTTTGTTGACCTTTGTTTTCTTTTATCTTGGGTAGACACATAGGAGTAAAGCTGGTAGTATGTTAATTCTGTTTAACCATTTGAGGAAGTACCTCACTGGTTTCCAGAAGGGCTGTTTTCCAAAGGGACTCCTATACATTCCTACCAGAGGGTATGAGACTTGTAATTTCTTCACATCCTTGAAATTTATTAGTGTCTTTCATTTTGATTATAGCTTTCCCCTTGAGTGTAAAATGGTATCTTTTGTGGTTTTGATTTGTACTACATTATGGCTAATAATGTTAACTATATATTCTTGTTTATTCTGGCCACATTTTTTAAAAACCTTTTTGGAGAAATGTATATTTAGATCCATTGCTCCTTTTAATTAAGTTGTCTTTTCTCTACTGAGGTATAAGAATTCTTTATATATGCTAGTTGCAGTCCCTTATTGTATATGTGGTTTGCAGATATCCCCACCCCTCATCCTGTAGTTTGTCCTTTCAATATCTTTATGTTATTTTTTGAAGGACAAATGTTTTTAATTTGACTAAATCCATTTTCTGTTTGGTGCTTGTGTTTTTGTTATCATAATCAAGAAAGCTTTGCCTAACTCAACTTTATAAATGTTCCTAAAGAACTTTATAGCTTTAGCTCTTTTTTTTTTTTTTTTTTTTTGAAACAGGGTCTTGCTATGTTGTCCAGGCCATCCTTAAACTCACTATGTAGCCCACACTATGTAGCCTCAAACTCATGGTGATCCTCTTGCCTCAGCCTCCAAAGTACATGCCTATATCTTGTAATCTGAGCAGCTACTTTGAAGACAGCAATATGGAATATAATAACCATTGTTAATTTCCTATTCTCTTGTTTTAAAATTCTGTACCATTATTTTTATTTTTTTCTTTTTAAAATAAAATTTAAAAAAGAACAGATGATCTAAGCCTAAAAAACTGATATTTTTGTCTTCTAATTCATTCATTATCATATTACTTTGTTTAATAAAAAAAGAAATAGTAGATTGCTTTATAGATTGCTTTGTTTTAGGACAAGTCATAATGAACATGTTCTTTAAATTCATTTTAGGTACCAAATCTGATTCCAGTTTTAATGTTCAAATTAGGAAGACCACTGGAACCTGTATTATACAATGATATACTGTATACTTTACCTATGCTTGGTGTTCACAAGGTTAGTATATTAACCAGTTTACTTTTGTTTATGTGTGTGAGTTTTGTTTTTTGAGTTTTTGAGATTCAAGTAGTACCTTGAATTCTGTTTTGTGTTATGAAATTTTAAGATCTAAATTTTGCCATGATCACTGCTCTCCCTGTCTGGCCATGTTTTATAGCAGGTAATGTCTAAAGCCGAAAGTATTTATTATGATATTTCTAAAAAATTCCCTTTAATTCACTTAATATTCAAGCTTTCATATGGACAATTCTGAGATCAGGTGCTGTGCCCCAGAATCACTAGCTAGTTCTACCAAATTGTCTCCTATCATTTCAGAAGAGGTTAATATTTCAGTAAGCTTCCATTTCAGTCTGTATCACTCAATAAGATATCTAAAAATGCTTTTGGCAAACTTGAGGTTGGCGACATTAACATTTATGAAACCAAAGTTTCTTTAACGTTTTCTTAGGTGTGTATTGGACAGATTCTGCGAGTAATCCAACTGCTTGGAACCACTCCTCAGCTGAGAGCTGTTACTTTGCGCCTGCTGACAGCTTTGTGGGAAAAGCAGGTGAACTTACATGTACACTCTATGAGTATTAAACATGTTTCTTTCACAGAGGAGAATTATCATGTGTGATAGTGCTTTGATTTAGTGATATGAGTGAACGCATTAATGTTTGCATTGAGAAGTTGTGATTCATTGTGATGTATTTGATCTAAAATTCAACCATTGTGATTGGCTCTCAGAAAAAATTGAGAATATAAATAATCTTATTTCTAAAATTTATCTTTGATTTTGTGAGAAAGTCATAGATAAGTGTTTGTGATTGGATCCTTTGTAATTAGGATGAGATTTGGCCACTTCTTATTTTATGAGATGAATAGTACATGGGAGTAGAAGAAAATCCTCAATAACCACAACAGTATTCTTCTCTGCTGATTAGAAGAAATTGTAATTATAATTTCCAATGCAAATGTAAGATTTAGAAGTAAAAGTGCTGCATAAAAGCAGGTAATGATTACTCAACTCAAGTTGGAACTTCCCTTGTTTGTGACATTGCCTAACTAGGATCGTGTGTACCCTGAGTTGCAGCGGTTCATAGCCATGTCTGACGTGCCTTCTCTCAGTGTGAGCAGAGAGCTCCAGTGGGAGAGGCTGATTGCGAAAGCGGCGTCAGTCAGAGACGTGTGCAAGCACAGGTGAGGTGTGGCTAACTCTTGGGGATGTATGCTGTGATGCATTTTTGCTTAACGTTTTTATTGCATGCAGGAATAAATTATTTTTCAGTTCACATTTTCTGATGGTAAAATGAGGTACTGTTGGCAAGTAACTTTGAGAAACAAGTATGTCTTTCCTTTCAGGTCTAGTCTTACACAGGTTCAGAGGGTAGTTGTATCCCTTTGTGGATAATTAGTGGTACAGTAGACGTGATATCATGTTTTTATTCTTCATATAAATTCTTGGAAACTAAGCATACTCATAAACTTCTTTCTTATATTTCTCCAGGTATGTATTATTATTATTAGGAGCTTTACTAGGCCTTATTTGTGATTCACTATATGGAATTACTAAGAATTACAGCAAGGATGGAAATGACATTGAATTTCCTTCTATTTTATGCTTTTAGGAAAAATATGAAGATAGATAGGAGCTGATGTGCTGTTCACAATTGTGGTTAAATAGGGTGGAGGAGATAAGACTGAAGTAGCACAAGCATAGCTGTGCCTTGCCAAAGTGTTTATTCCTTGCATGGGTGAGGTAAGAGTATTTGCAGGGGAAGTGGATTGGTGCATCTGAAGTTACTTGCAATCCTGCAGCATCATACAGTGATTAGGTCGTGCACGGCAGACTTCCAGGAGCACCACTCTCACTCTGTCCATGCAGCAGTGTGGATGGCATTCCTGAGATGGTGCAGCATGGATGATAACATTTCATGTAAAATCTTGGGCCAGACTATGTCAGAATCTAAGCCCTCGTTGTCCTGTTACTTTTCTGAGTTTCAGTTTTTCTGCAGCTCAAAAGTAACCTCAATCTAAATTATAGAAAGTTACAGTTGCATAACCATGATCCAGGAGTTTGGATTTTATTGAGGGCCGGCATGGGGACAGTGTCAGAGTGTCAACTGATATTGTCATTGTGCACACTCAAGGCTGTGGTTTAGGTCATGTTGGATATCAGACACATCAGTCTTTTAGTAATTTCATCAGTTGAGCTTTTGTTATTTAAAGTACTGTATTATACTGAGAGTAACAGGGAACTCAGCAGATAGATCTGTGTAACTGTGGAGTTAAAGGTGTTCATCGTTATTAAAGTTGTTACCTTAGCATCACTACTAGCATAAGGCATCTTCTGACCACAGATCTATGTGTCATTGTGCATATCTGACATGAGAGCAACAAACAGACATAAACAGCTCTGTCTTTACTAATATTCTTAATAAGATATTTGTTCTTTTAATTATTATTACTATTTTTTGTTTGGGTTTTTTTTTTTTTTTGGTCTTTTTATGGGCTTTTTTAAAGGGTCTTGCTATGCAGTTCAGGCTGGCCTTGAGCACACTTGGTAGCCCAGCTGGTCTCGAACTTGCAATGATCCTCCTGCCTTAGCCTCCCAAGTGCTGGGATTATAGGTGTGCACCACCACTCCCAGCTGTCTTTTAATTATTTTTATAGATTTGAATTTTTCTCAATTCTGACAGTAGGATCTGTCTGAAGTATAGGATCTGTCTGAGCGAGTATTGACTTTGTTAAAAAGTATTTTTGAATAATATTTTTATATAACAATGTGTACTACAGCAAAAGTAAGTAGAAATGATCATGATATAAAATTTTGGAGAAAACGTATGGTATTAATAGGAACAACTAGTAGGAACAAGGGTAAAGAAAAACATTGATACCTTTCATTCAGGCGAAAGATCTGGCTGTAATTTGGCTCTTTGCTTTAATTTTGTTTTTAAATTGTCATTTATTGCAGGCCCTATCAGCATGGTGCAGATATGCTGGCAGCTATTTCTCAAGTGCTGAATGAGTGTACCAAGCCTGATCAAGCTACACCAGCCGCCTTGGTGTTGCAAGGTCTTCATGCACTCTGCCAAGCTGAGGTTGGTGTTTTTGAATTGTTTTGGACAGCTTTGAAGAAAATAATTTTGAAACACAGTGACTATAAGGATGTAAGATTAACTTGAGGTAACTGGAAGTCTGAATATTAATTCTCAGACAATTGTTTTTGGAAGAAGAAGGCAGGACCTTCCTTGACAAATACTTCGTAGAGGAGTCCTAAACCATCTTCTCATGTAGACATTCATTAGAGACTCAGGCAAACATGACTTTCAGAGTTTCCTTGTTCTTTTTTATTTTTGCCAGGATAAAAAGAAACTTTATTTTCACAGAATATGAATATATTTATTTCTTAATTTTGTGGTTAGAGCACCTTCGAATTAGGTAAGATAAAGAAATGGCCATGGGCCATTTGCACTTTCATAGCCAACAGAAGTTATCATTGACTTTAAGATTAGCAAAGGACTCTTTCCTCCCTAGTGATTAAATTTGGTAGAATGGATGAATGTTAGAACTAAACTTGTAAATCATTTTCTGAAAGCTGAAACATTGTATTATTGTTAATTTTGGTAATAAAAGTGCTCTCTTTAAGTGTTTGGTAATGAATAGCTTTATGTGCATCTAAATAAGGAAAGATAATCTATTTCCCTGTGATGAGCCTTGATGGTGGCAGTGTTTATTTCTGTTTTGTTTAAGGGTTTCTAAGCTTTAAGTTCATGATTTCACTATTTGTGAAGCTACTGGTGTTGTGTTCTGTGATGTATATTAAAGTGGTAAAATTTATACAGTTCAGCAGGTTTTGCTAGGCTGTGCTTATTAATCTGGGGCTAACTTTTTGGTTTTTGGCTGGTGATATTCTCAGAAGTCAGCATACAGTCTGTGAGGTCATTTATACTATCTTCTAATGATACCATGTGTGAAGCATTGTCATAGCCATCAGCTTCAAAAAACATTCTGCAGGGTTATAAATTCATTTCCTGGCAGCATTTCGTAGTTATTTGTCTACCCACTACTTTTTAGATCCTTAATTAAATATTGTGAGGAGTACAGAAATATATCCTAAAATAACAAAATAGAACAAATCAATAAGGATAAGTGAATAAACTGATTAACCTCGGCTTTGAGAAAATACCTCAGTTAGAAAACCATTTAAAATTGGATGTTACAGGGCTTTCCTAATCTTGCTTTATTATAAAAAGTCATGTGTTTCCCCCTTAGGCTTGATAATGAACTCTTGAGTTTTCAAAGTCACAGTAAAAACATTGATTTGTCCTTGATAGAGTCAGATCAAGCTCACAGTTCTGTTGTTTACTTGTCTACATGGCCACCAATGAGCAATTATATTTTTTAAAGGATGGGTCCTATCTTACTGCCAAATTTGTTAGGATAAAGACTGTGTTCCCAGTATGGTTTTCTTTGGTGCTGCTTTGCTAAACGTAATATAGAGAAGTTCTAGGAATCTTGGCAGATCATAAAGATGAGGATGTAGTTTGTCGGTTTGGAACTGGAAAAGAGAAATTTATTCTTAACACTATAGACATGTAGATTTGGACTTCATAACTTTCTTTTTAGGGATAACCTACTTTAAAATATTATAGCTAATATTTGCTGGGTACCTATTGGGAATTTGGACATTTTGTGATATAAGGATTATAAAATTTCATTTTATAATGAAGAGACAGACACTCTGGAAACCTAAGTAACTTTAAGTCACATGGCTTATAAAAGTAAGACTTGAGTCTTACGTTCTTTTGTAACTCCAAGGAGTTGTCCTTTGGAAAAATATAGGCCTTGAAAGAAAGTAGTTTGATTTATCTTTAAGTGAAGAGTGTGTCATTTTCAAAGAAATTAATATCCTTGCATTCTCTTTTCCTTATCTTTTCTATCTAGTATTCTTTTTTAAGTGTAAATTTTTATTAGTACGTGTTTGCAGTCTATAATGACTCCATTCATCATGAAAGTTGGTGCATATGTACACCACATTTTAACCCTTTTTCTTTCCCCTTGCTTTCCTCTCCCTACCCTGTTCTTGTCTCATCACTTTTTGCCCCACTCTATCCCTATTTTCCTTACTTTCTTTTTTTTTTTTTTTTACTTAATACAGAATAATGGCTGTGAGAAGAATATTCTCTTTTTTTACAAATAATTTTATTGAAATATAATTTACATTCATGTCATCCTTTTAATGTGTATAATTTAGTTTTTTTTTGTTTGTTTGTTTTTCTCCGGTACTGGGAACCGAACTCACGACCTTGCGCTTGCCAGGCAGGCGCTTTGCCGCTGAGCTAAATCCCCAGCCCCAATTTAGTTTTAATATATTCACAGTTACCACAACCAGTTTCATAACATTTTTATCACTTCCCCACAAGTCCTATGTTTTTTCCTTCTCACCTCTGAACCAGCGTATTCCATATTCCCACAAGCCTTAGGCAGCCATTTATCTACCTTCTTAGTGAATTTGCCTCCCCTGGGCATTTCTTATAAACAAAAATAAAATCATGGTATATACTCTCTGTGATTAGTCTTTTTGACTATGTTTTCAGAGTTCATTCATGTTATGTTAAAGCAAGTGTTAGTGCTTCATTTTTTTTTTTATGGTTGAATAATATTCTGTATGGCTATAGCATATTTTATTTATCTACTTATCAAGTGATGGCTATTCAGATTGCTCTTATTATCTGACGACTATGAATAATGCTGCTATGAAAATATATATTTTACGTTGTGAAAACGTATCCCTAGAAGTGGAATTGTAGGATTATATGGTAAGTGTGTTTTAACCTTTAGAAGAACTGTCTGTTAAACTAGCTGTTTTCCAAAGTGGCCCTGCCACTTTACATTTATATCAGCAATGTATGAAAGTTCTGATTTCTCTACATCCTCATAAACACTTGTTATTGTCTTTTTTTTAAACTGTAATTATCCTCATGAGTATCAGCTGGTATTTCATGGGGTTTTTATTTGTATTTCCCTGATGACTAATGATACTGAGCATCTTTTCCTATGTTTTACATTATATTTTATTAGTACATGTTAATATTACATAATGGTAGGATTTTTTTTTGGCATTTTGGTAGTTGTATTTAATATATCTTAAGCAATTTCAGTTGTGTCACTCTTTTAGAAAAATGGCTCCCCAGATTCTTAGAATAGTCTCTTCCTCATTGCTTTTAACTTCCTAAATTAGCCATGTTCCATTTCCTTGCTGTAGGAGTGATAACTGAAACAGTTCTGACCTGATGCGTCTAAGGAAGGGATGCTGTGAAAATGTGAGCTTGATTTGTGGGCTTTTCACTTCAAAGAGAGTTACTCAGCTGGATAAAAGACAGATGGACACACATTGTGTTCTTTTCTTTACTGCTTTGTTCACATCACATTTTGTTTTATATAAAATTAGTAGAGTACTTTCATCGGAAAACTTATACTTTAATAGTATGTATAGTAATAAGCATCTGTTGATTTACTGAGTGCTTTTTATCTGGTAAAGATTCTACACTAAAATTATTTATTAACACATTTAATTTGTACCACAAACCCCCATATATGATAGGTTCTATTTTCTTCTGAGAGGTTGGCAAAAGTTAAATTATTGCCCAAGGTCATATAGCTAAAATGCAGTAGAGCTAGAATTCAAACCCAGATATATGTGAATTCAAAGCTTGTATCTTAACTATGTGTTGTTGTCATTAGTCATTCAAGAAATGCAAATTAAAACAACACTGAGATTCCATCTCACCCCAGAAAAAATGGCTACCATCAAGAAATCAATCCATAACAAATGCTGGAGAGGCTGTGGAGAAAAGGAACCCTTCTCCACTGATGGTGAGAGTGTAGATTGGTGAAACCACTGTGGAAATCAGTCTGGAGATTCCTCACAACTAGGATTAGAAGTACCACTTAACCTAGCTATTCCCCTTCTGGATATTTTCCCAGAAGAATTAAAAGCATCATACCATCAGTGATATGTGTGCACCCATATTTATAGCCGCTCAATTTGTCATAGCTAAATCTTGGAAACAGCCCAAATGCCCATCAACTGAGGAATGAATAAAAAACGTGGTATTTCTATACAATGGAGTATTACTCAGCTATTAAAAAAGATAAACTCGAGGTTTTTGTAGGTAAATGGATGCAACTAGAGACCATACTCATAAGTGAAATAAATTGGATCCACATGTGTAAATATCATATTGTTTTCGTAGTGTAAGAACCTGATAGAGTAAGAAAATACCAAAACATACAATAGATAATATGAAAGGGAAAGAAATTGCTCAAAGGAAGGAACAACTGGGATGAGGGAAAGGAGAGAAGAAAGAAGGAAGGGAAAGAATATATATATATATATGGATAGCTGGAGTAACTGTACTGCTGTGTCTGTTGGTTTATTGAAAGGAACAGTTAGTGCTTAAAATTTTTTATATTTTGACCAGTTTTGCATACTTATATCTGGTAATCTGAGCAACTGATTTGAAGAAAACAGTATGCAATAGAACAACCATTGGTGAATTCCTACCATCTTGTCTAGTGAAACTCTATATCATCTCTAATGTATTTTTAATACTTATTTTTTTATCCTCCTTAATGGTTTGAACAACCTTCCATTCTTACATCTGGTAATCTGAGCAACTTAGTTGAAGATAACAATATGTAATATAACAACCACTGTTAATTCCTATCATTTGGTTTGAAACCCTGTATCATTTTTAATTTCTTGCTTTGTTTTGTTTATGTCTATGATGTTGGTATTTTGGTATTCTTTTTTTTACTACTCTCTTTAAAATAAAAAAAAAAAATATTTGTTGTGGTGGTGGTTGTTTTGAGACAAGGTCTTGTTACATAGTTCAGGGTGGCGTAGAACTTGCTGTGTATCCCAGGCTGGCCTTGAACTTGTGGTGATTCTCCTGCCTCAGCCTCTGGAGTGCTGGGATTAGGGGTGTGTATCACCACTCCCAACCAATTACTGTTTTATTAAATATCACTTTATTGAGGTGTAATATACTTATCATCATGTGTTTTTGCTGATCATATTTATGTTCAGTTGATC